AACACGGTAAATACAGGGTTGAGAACTGGAGGGTATCGACAGAACACTCTTTCTCAAACCATTGTTAAATTTTCTTTGACCTAACGGCACCAGTAAATAAACAGGTACCAAACAGAAACCCCCGTAAGACAGATTGGAACAAATTGAGCGAAATTGTTCAATCTAAATTAAAGGGCAGTAGGATCAAGATACAATCCACCTCAAAGGCAACGCCTTCCAAAAGCCATGTAAGGTATCATTCTCGAAGAGGCAGTACCCACCGAAAGAAAGCTTTTAAAAAAGTAGTTTATAAGGCCAAGAAAGAATCCTGGCAAAACTACTGCGAGTCACTAGAAGACATAAAGGACACGGCGAGATTAGGCAAGATTCTCGACAAAGGGCTCACCAGCCCTACCCTTATCAACAGAGCAGATGGTACTGCTACAACGACAATTGAGGTGTCACTAGAGCTGTCACTAGAGAGTTGACACCCACTTCCCAGGGAACCTACGAGAGAACTCGAAACCCGAGGAGGAAACGAATACTCAAATGGACACGCCAACGAATGACATCATTACCTCGGATCGAATTCAGTGGGCTATAGATTCTTTTGACAGGTACAAAAGCCCGGGCCCAGACTGCATAATACCGGAAATGCTACAATCGGCCAAGAAAAGCATCTGCAGATGGCTAAAAGCCATTTATGAAGCTTGTATAAGACTGACGCACATCCCACTCTTGTGGAGGGAAGCAAAAGTCATATTTTTACCGAAACCAGGCAGAAGAGGGCACATCCTAGCAAAGGATTACAGACCGATAAGTCTCACATCCTCCTTCCTGAAGACACTAGAGAGACTCCTGAACGTCCACATCCGGGAGTCGCTGGAGAGATATCAACTCTCAGATGCGCAGCATTTTCGCAGCCGACTGAGACTTCTACCGAGCCGAAGCTCTGCCCACGATACAGTTACGACGGTAGTCTTGTCGGCAGTCGGTGACAGTACCATGGCTGGGCCATGGATGTTGATGAATTGTTGATGAATGTCGATAATTTGTTCATGAATCATTGATTAATTGTTGTTGATGACAGCCTATGAAACGCTCATGTTAAATTCATCAACAATTTGTATAGCCATTAATCGATGTATCATCAACAACACCGCCGTGACTGTTGATGAATCGTAGATTATTTACTAATGAATGGTACTGCTGGGTTCTACCGTTCTCGTCTCCCTCTCTACCTAATAAGCGGTCAGCAACCCAAAATATAAAATTTTTATTTTTCGTCGTTGCGCTTGCCAACAGAATCACACACATATTCACGCACACAGACGCACTTGTTTGTTCCTCTTCGGTACCATTCCCTTTGGATTCAGGTCTGAATCAGGTTGGATTGGAGAGGTCTCCATCCTGAATCGTAAACGATTTTCCATACAACCCATTCAGGAATTTTTATACAGTACGCGTTAGAAAACCTGAATTCGGATTACCCGAGGAATCAGTAAGGAATCCTGCTAGGAATTTTTCGTGAATTTCGACACGAATTCCCCCCTGAATAAGAAAGTAATTTCGAACCAGATTCTGAACGGAATCAGACAGGAATTCCAGATGGAATCAGGCAGTAATCGTAGGTAAATTTGGATTAGAACGAGATAGGACTCTTAAAGGAATACCAGGTGGAATCAACAAGGAATCGTAGGGGAAATTAGATTAGAATCAGATAGGACTCTTAAAGGAATACTAGGTAGACTCACCAAGGAATCGAAAGGGAATTTAGAATAGAATCAGATAGGAAACCCAGAGGAAAACGTGTAAGCTTTATAATTTGTTCAATGATTATCACAAATTTTCTTAGCACAAATTCTTGCATGTCCCCTAAACGTATGTCACGGGTCTTTCCTTCCGGCTGTTGACCGTGTTGTATATTAGTTTCAAATGAACAATATTTTCCATAAATATAAATACCAATTAAACAAGGCACTTCTGAATATATAATGGCTTTCCCGTTCACTAGGTTGAAAAGAGTTCAGGTTCAAAAGCAGTTCTGCAAATCAATTTATTAACCGAAAACAAATTAGTCACTTACCTTTAAATAATCTATATATATAAAAATGCTCTGTTCGTGTCTACTTCCTTTATATACTTGAAAAGTTCTGAACTGTTTAAGCCCAAATTTTGACACAACATGCGTTGAGGTTCCAGCTCGGTTATTGTCTACTTTTGATGTTGATAACTTATCTGCGTTTGCGAATATATCAGTTTTTTCGCGTTTCCCCGTTCCCCTACTGCTGCGCCCTCTACAGGCAGCCAGCTGAATCGAAACATTTCCTGTCAAACATTCAAAACATATTGAAAGAAGAAGCAAGAAGCAAAAAGACGTAAGATTACGAATATGACTGACGAAGAGCGGGCCTCTATCCGCGAGACTGAGCGGCTGAGAGCAATGCAGATGCACAACGCGGAATCAGCAGAAAGACGAGCAGATAGGCTTGAGAGAAAACGATTGAGAGTTAGGCAGACGCGTTCTGCAGCAACCGATTTGATTCACTCTCAAAATAATGAACGCGACAGGGCAAGGGTAGCTGAAGCTTGGATGCTCCAGGAGAAACGGGGAAAACATTCCTCATTATATTGATTCTAGCTACGGTTCGAGCTAACAAGGACATAGCTTTAGCTCTTGCTTCATCTGGAATCGCTGCGACATTGTTACCTGGTGGGAGGACTGCTCATTCAGCGCTGAAGTTGCCGTTGAACATGCAAATCATCGAGACTCCTACGTGCAACATTTCCAGAGCATCTGGCATGGGAAAAGTATTGCAAAGATGTAAACTCATTGTTTGGGATGAATGCACAATGGCACACAAAAAATCGCTGGAGGCTCTCGATCGATCATTGCGGGATTTGCATAGAGCTGTCCAACCATTTGGAAATACGTTAATATTGCAAACGTTGCCTGTGATTTCCTGATCGACACCAGCTGACAAGATAAATGCTTGCCTAAAATATTCTATATTGTGGCAACATGTACGTACATTACAGTTGAAGACGAATATGCGTGTCCAGTTACAGAACGATGACACGGACAGAACGATACTGGACACGGGGAACGGAAAGCTGCCAGTCAATGAGACGTCGAGAAAAATAATATTGCCCGAGAATTTCTTTAATTTACTTACATCGAAGGTAAGTCCTTATCCAAAAAGTGTTCCCCAAAATCTGAATAAATTATAGGAATCACGATTGGCTCAGTGGACGAGCGATTCTCGCTGCCAAGAACAAAGATGTATACCAGCTCAATCATGTAATCCAGTCCAGCATAGAAACTGACGAAATTACATATAAGTCGATAGACCCCGTTGTGGAGGCAGAGGAAGCAGTTAATTACCCTACGGAATTTCTAAACTCACTTGATCTGCCTGGAATGCCACCACACATATTGACATTAAAAATAGGTGCGCCGATTATCATGCTCCGAAATATAAATCAGCCGAAACTCTGCAACGGTACGCGACTCGCAGTCAAGAAATTGATGAACAACGTAGTAGAAGCAACGATCATAACTGGTCCTTTCAAAGGTGAAGATGTCCTCATTCCTAGGATTCCTCTGATCCCGGCTGATACACCGTTTCAGTTCAAGAGATTGCAGTGTTCCATTCGTTTGGCGTTCGCAATGACCATTAATAAAGCTCAAGGTCAATCTCTGGAGTTGTGTGGTCTAGATTTGGATGCAGATTGTTTTTCACACGGATAGTTATATGTTGCGTGTTCCCGTGTCGGAAACCAGATAGTCTTTATATTTACGCGGAGAATGGAGAAACGAAGAATATTGCATACCCACAAGTATTACAGAATTAAATGAATTTGAAAATTATTCTTTTTGTTTGACTTATTTCTAATGCGTGCAACCACAATATGCCACAGAGAAACGTGGCAGGGTACAGCTAGTACTTAATAAATTACAATGCAAAACACTTGTGCACTAGAGCTGCTAAAAAATAGATTTCAACAATAATAAGTAAATAACATTTTATCAACAACAATAATTAATAAATAACAGTTTAATTTCGGAACCGCTGCTCCGAATCACTCGAACATGACACCAGTAATCGAACAGGAAAGGAATTTTAGTACTGTAGGGTCTGTGTTTACTTATACATGCAAAACACATTCTATTCTTAGATTTTTACGCTCTTCTTTGTGAGAGCAGGGAGAGCGACATTGTCGTTTGAATCAAAAATTAGACTCATATTGCAAAACGAATTTATGGTCGTAAGGCATCTTATAAACTGTATAGTCTTTGCTACAACGGCATGAAAATGAATAAAAAATAATTAAATCTATAGGTTACACAAATCCTTTTCTTATTTTATTCAACAATAATTTTTGAATTCATTGTTTTGGAAATGCGCTCGGTGGTCTTGCAGTACTTTTTATACTCCTACAGGGCATTACAAATTCTGTCAGAAGTTTGCAATGCAGTGAAGGAGTCATCTCCGACCATAGAAAGAATATATGTTATTGATCAGGATCAATAGCCGACTCTGCGGCCATCGACCTGACAAATGTCTGGTGTTTAATAATCTGTTCCAGGAGCATGGAGATCTCTCAGATCGGTAAGGTGAGCTGTGGAGCTGTCCCATAATGTCCTTGCTAGCCTACATCTTCCTAATTTATATTTCTCTTCAAGGTTCTTATCTACCCTACAAAAAAATATGTATGCCAAAAACCAAAAAAATTGTATTTCCCTTTACTAATGCAATTATATTACCTGTATCAGCTCTTCTAAACTTCTGCACATTTTAGTTCATGGCGGGATCTTTAATTTAAAATAGGCAAAGAAGCTGCAAGCGAGAGCGAGAGGCAAACGGTCGCGAACAGCGTGTTTTATTAAGATTTGTATTTTTTGCAAGCCGCTCGAGAAATACTAAGTGTGCCGTCGGGAATCTCCTAACGCCATCCAACTTTCAGGTATTTTTAATTGTGTGTCTCCGTACAGGCCTTTAAAACGGCGCGGACGAATAGCCGTTTTCCATCTATTTGCCTATCGCTTTCTCGGTGTTTTACCCTCACCATACCGTGCTTTACTTAGAAAATGCGGTTTCCCCTAGTCTCTTGTGTTTTGTCTCTTTTCACATGCACTTAATTGGCTTCTGTAAAACAAAAAAAAAGAAAAAATAATTGCAAACATTCGCTGTACTGACAATGTTTTCAATAGTAAGAAGTTTGCTCCTACTTCGGTTATTTACCTGTGCTTCGAGCATTCCAGCCGTTATCAGAGTTGGTAATATTTATGCATCTGGGTTATCAGTATAAATATTAATCTTAAAATATAATTTTAAAGGAGCTATATTTCCCAAGCAACCCATCAAATATAATTCCGAGTTGGCGTTTCGTTACGCGATTCATAGATTAAATAATGACAAGAGTCTATTACCAGAAACAATCGTTGACTACGACGTGGAATATGTAAGCCAACATAACTCTTTTGAGACTGCTCGGAAAGGTATCTAAATATTTTACATAAAATATATTTATAACCGCGATATATTTGCAACGTAGTGAAGGAGAGATTTCCGACCCTATAAATGATATATGTTATTCTTGACCAGTATGAATAGCCTTCTGTCTATCCGTTTCTACGCAAACTATTCTACTAGTTTTAAAGCTGAACTTTGCAATGAGTCTTCTATATACTCTCACTAACGGGTCGGGACATGACATATTTTATCAAATTTAAGATAAACCGATTTGAATTATTCCAGATTTATATAAATTGAAAATCGGGAGATTATATTATATAACTGTCATAGGAACGATGAAAAAACTAATACAAAAAAATGATAACCTGAATGTTTTTCAACAGATGTTCGTCTAGTCAGAGGTATACCTAAATTGTATTATTTCAGAATTTCGATCTTAGTTCTATGAAATTTGGACGACTATATTATGTATATACCTGCGATACAAACGATTGTTTAGTGTAAAAAAAATGCTAAACTGTCAATGTAAAACTGCAAGTTTAATAAGAATAGGTGAATGTTATAAAAGTAGACATAACTTTGTCATTTTTATAAATAAACATATAAATGTAATATTGTATTAATTATTATTGATCCTTTTTGTTGGTAATTTATAAACATATAAACAAATATGCTGAAATATTATAGTGTGCCGTCTGTTAGGAGCTGGCGTCCAAGCTGTCTTTAGTCCAGCTGATTCCGTGTTGGCAGCGCATATAAATTCAATATGCGATGCATTAGATATCCCTAATATAGGACGTAGCGCCCATGACTTCTCCATTAACGTTTATCCATCGAAAGAATATGTGAATCAGGCCTTCATTGATGTCATACGCTACCTAAACTGGACGCGATTTGGAATATTACATGAAAGGGAATATGGTAAGTTGCAAGACTTAAATTCTCAATAAGATACTAGTTATAAGGCGGGCTCCGGGTTTCACTTTTGCAAATTTCTTGAGTTAGACTTTTAAAAAACTCAAATATATATATGTGTGTGCTCCTATTTAAAAAAGTATAGTTTTGTGTGATCAAATAAATGTTAGTTCTCGTTATTAATATCTAAATGTCTAAATTAGATCAAATTAGGAATTAGAAATCAATATATTATAATATAAATAATATATACTGATGTTAAAAAAGTAATGCCTGCTTTCATTTCTTTAACCTACAAATATTATTTTTACAGTTTTACATTTACAGTTTTGCAAATATATATTTCATATATGTGGCAGCCATACAAACGACCGGTTGATATAAAGGAAAATACAAAACTTTTGCTGTAGGACTGTAAATATAATATCTAAAGGTTGAATTGAAGGGTTACATACAGATAGAATTAACAAAAAAAATCGATTTTTTTTTTATTTTATTTTTTTAATGTAAATATATCTAAGAATATAAGTTTCATTTAGTTCCGGTGAATACTTCCTGAGTTATAAGTTAATTTGAAAAGGCGTTTTGGAGTCCTATGTAAAGTGCATTCCAAACTTTAAACGTGTTTTAACCAAAATGTTGTTTTCAAAGTCGGTGACCAACATTTCTCGAAAACGGCTAGCCTGATAAGTCTCAAATTTTAACACGGCCTTCTTAAATATATTTTTTAGTAATTAATCAAAGATTTTTTTCTTTCAAATAAATATTTTATTTTTATAAACAATTTAGTGCGGAAATTTCGGGGAAAAACTTTTTTTTTGTAAAACTGCCATTTTTTTAAAAAAAATTATTTTGCTTATTCCTTCGATTAATTACTAGATTTGACATTACTCTAACGAAATCTTTTTGGTTTTTAAATTTCTGATGATCTAGTTCCGGTATATAGTGGTCACCGCAAAACGTCTTTTTTAAGAGGAGCTCCCGTAGGTCAGGTGTAATTCTTTTCCAAATAAATATTTTTACTAGTTCTAACTTTTAAAATACAGTTAAAAGATACTTTAATATGTGTATACATTTTTGGATCAATAAGTTAAAAAGTTTCTTCAGAAAACACTCTGAAAAATGCACCGTTTTTTGCCCTCTATCTGTATGTAACCCCTTACTTCATTGTACTTTAATATAAATATGTATAATTTATATTGTATTAATTCCTAGTGATCGAAGTTCTATCTGCAAGGGTATATAAACTACGGCTTGCCAAAGTCAGCTTCCTTTCTTGTTATAATGAAGATTTCCGTCTATTTAAAAATGGCATTAATTTTTAATAGAACATCAGTTGAGAACGGCTGAACCGATTTGGATGAATTTTTTTTTCAATTGAATAACTCTGCCAGGCGAAGGCTTTTGTTGCTAAGAAATATTGGAAAGCCTTCCTGAAAATTCTTTAGGCCCTCAACAGATGTTGACAAAACACTCTACAGTAACGTTAGAGAGCAAAATTACCAAAGTGGGCTCTATAAGAGTTGTTGTTCCGTCGTATGTCCGCAGTTTCAATTGGAATAAGTTCTCCCCGGTATTGCTAAAAAAAAACTAAACTGAAAGCGAAGAATATTTCATTTTTCAAATCGCTGGAGAACTGCATAAATACAAATCGTTCGACTGTGTGACCAACGAGGATGAAGCGACTAACAATCCAATTGAATTTTTAAAATGGCTGGATGTGCCAGGAACTCCGCCGCAAAATTCAGAGCTGAAGGTTGGCTCAATCATAACTTTGATGCGGAATCTGAATCATCCGAAATTGTGCAATGGTACGCGGTTGTCAAAAAAACTAATGAACAATGTAATTCAAGCAACAGTCATTAAGGGCAAATTCAAAGGAAAGGAAGTCCTAATCCCACAAATTCCAATAATTCCAAATGATGATCATGGCTTTTGCCATAACAATCAGTTAATCGCAAGGCAAATCGTTGAAATGCTGTGGGATTAACCTTGAATATCCCTGTTTTTCGCATTGTCAAAAAAAAGCTTAAAGATCTGTCTTCGTTATTTATTTTTGCTTCATCACATCGCTCTCAACTGATGATATTCAAATAAATAACATAGAAATTTGAATTATCTGGTCTGTGGTCTGTGGGGTTATATGAAACATTAGGGGCGAGCCAAAGCCGGGCCAGCTTGTTTTATTCAAAAATACTACTTATGTTATGTTTTACTTACTTCTGAAAATAATCAAGTCAACTAGTTGAGTAGTGAAACGACTATGAAATATTTCGATAACAACGTTTGTGCGATGACGGAGAACTCAAACAATGGAGCTTCCAAATTTAGACAACAATATCCTGACACATATTACTGATATTACACATTATACATATTTCAGGAATTATAGATTTACATCAAATCTCGCGCTCTGTTCAGGCTGAAGTCCACATGCGCCAAGTTTCTCGAGGCTCATACCTTTCTATATTGAACGATTTTAAGAACAAAGAAATACACAATGTTATAATTGATACAAGTTCCGATGGCATATCAATTTTGTTGAAGAATGTAAGCTGAAATATAAAATATTATATTTTATATTATTTTCTAAAGTCGTGTTCTATATATTTTTCAGATATTACAGCAACAAATGAATGAATATAAATACCATTATTTTTTTACCAGCTTCGATCTGGAAACCTATGATATGGAGGACTTTAAATATAATTTTGTGAATATAACATCGTTTCGTTTGGTGGACATAGGGGATGTGGCAGTTAAGCAGATTTTAAAGGATATTGAAAACTATGGTCATCACATATTCCAATCGCCAGATTTTAGTCAGCATTCAAGAAAATCCTTTTCCCTCGAGGTAAAATAAAAATTATAGTAATTAAGACTATAATATTATTAAATATATAATTATCGAATTTTTAGTCTGAACCAGCATTAATGTTCGATTCAGTTTTCGTATTTGCTATGGGCTTGCAGACACTAGAACAATCGCATATTTTGGATTTATATAATGTGACCTGCGATGCGGAAATACCATGGAACGGTGGCTTGAGCCTAATTAATTACTTGAATGCGGTAATACTATATTGAGATAGCAAATCTTTGATATCAAATTTAAAATGCGTATCTTCTCAAACAGGTTGAATGGAAAGGTCTGACAGGACCCATTCAATTTAAAGAGGGGCAGAGAATTCAGTTCAAGCTAGACTTAATCAAATTAAAGCAACACTCTATTGTTAAAGTTGGCGAATGGACGCCGCATGGACACCTCAATATTACCGATCCATCAATGTTCTTTGATTCCGGCTCTATGAATGTAACACTCGTAGTCATAACTATACTGGTCAGTTTAATTAATAATCAATTCGGTATGGTATACAGTTTTTTCAACGAATATCTTTCTTTTTCTAAAATATTTATACGTAACCAGAATTTAAAATAAATTTTAAAATATGATTTAAAATATTGAACTTGAAATAGTTGAAAAAGCACACTTAGGGTTGTATTAGAAAGACTCGTCCGACTTTCACAAAAGTAAATCAGAAATTCTTAAATAAAATAAATTGTACATCTCTGAGTAGATGTTAATATTTTGAAAAACATCAAAGTTATAAATTTTTAGTTGAATTAATTTCTTGATCGGTCCTATGGCAGCTTCATGATTTAGTTGTTCAATTTTCATTAACTGAAAACCAAAATTCTGAAATAGTATAAAATGGCTATATCTTAAATTATATGAACATCTTTTGAAAATCGTTCCTATGGCAGCTATATGACACAGTTGTCCTATTCGGGCCATTTCGACCTTTATACAAGTGATATATGATTATATAGAGGACTAAATTCGAATTTCATTCACATAGCTTTAAAATTAAGGCACTAGTATGCGTAGAAACGGACAGACGGACAGAAGGACAGACGGACAGACGGACAGACGGACATGGCTAGATTGGCTCGGCTGTTGATGCTGATCAATAATATTTATACTTTATAGGGTCGGCAATGTGTCCCTCACTGCATTGCAAACTTCTGACTAGAACTATAATACCCTGAAGTGAAAATAAACAAAATATGTATTCGATGCATCGATGTTTTTTCTTCTCTAACTTTTTAAAATATCTATTATTATACGTTATAAATTTTGCTAATAATATTAAGGAAAGAGCCCTTCTTAAAGTCGTCATTAAAACATTTGTTATTTGCATATATTTAACATTTGTGATCTTAAAATATTTTAAATTATATTCGAGTTGGACGAATCGTACAATCGCAACGAGCTGTAAACAGGTTTACAAAATTTATAATGTGTAAGAATTTTTAAAGAATGTTAATATTACCATGAGATAATCATTACCATTGAATAAATTGGTCAATTTATATAAAACTAATCTAAATTGCAAACTGCATGGATGTATAACTATGTGTAAACTATTTTTTTGTATTGTTATTAAATTTTTGTTTGTTTTACAGGAAACGCCGTATGTTATGATGCATTATGGAAAAAATTTTACAGGCAACGAAAGATTTTATGGGTTCTGCGTAGATATTTTGGAAACAATTTCACATGAAGTTGGCTTTGGATATATTTTAGATTTGGTTCCCGACCGAAAATACGGAGCCAAGGATCCAGAATCTGGTGAATGGAATGGAATGGTGGCTCAATTGATGAAATACGTATGTTGATTATAAATTATATATGTATATGAAAATATAGTTTTATTGTTTTATAAATAGTAAGAAATATTTATTTTTAGAAAGCTGATTTGGCAGTGGGCTCAATGACAATTACCTATGCGAGAGAGAGTGTTATTGATTTCACGAAACCCTTTATGAATCTGGGAATAAGCATATTATTTAAGGTAAAAAACATTTGTTTAAGTATGTTCTCAATAATTTCCAGCCTATTGCTTTTTTAGGTTCCCACTTCTGAGCCAACCCGATTATTTTCATTCATGAATCCTTTGGCTATAGAAATCTGGATATATGTGCTAATGGCATATATTCTCGTGTCCATCTGTATATATTTGGTGGGAAAGATATCACCCATCGAGTGGAAATATATAAATCCGTGCGATTTCAATAATATTACGATCGGTAATCAGTTTACATTATCAGATAGTTTCTGGTTTACAATTGGAACTTTAATGCAACAGTCACCCGATATATACCCGAGAGCTATTTCAACACGTATAATTAGTAGTATTTGGGGATTCTTCTCGTTGATTATTGTGGCCTCATATACCGCCAATTTGGCAGCATTTTTAACCACTGAACGCATGATTAATCCCATTGAAAATGCCGAGGATCTTGCAAGCCAAACAGAGATATCTTACGGAACTTTGGATAGTGGCTCCACGATGACGTTTTTTCGCGTAAGATCTATACGAAAATAGATTTTACTGTTCATTTTTATTCTTACTTACTAATTTTATATTATTCTTTCAACGAACAAAGGATTCAATGATTGAGACATATAAAAAAATGTGGCGGAGTATGGACAACAAAAACCCATCTGCATTTACTACTACATATGAGGATGGAATTAGAAGGGTTAACCAAGGCAATTACGCCTATTTAATGGAATCCACGATGCTTGATTATATCGTTCAGCGAGATTGTAATTTGACACAAATCGGAGGTTTGCTGGATACGAAAGGTACGAACTAGGGGGATGTGTATCGAGAGGAAAATTTAGATTTGATATCGACAAATATATTGCGTTCAATATCAAATCGAAAAAGAAAGGGAGCCCTTGCAGATTGGAATTCGATCATTAATAATTAATACAATATAAATTTTATAGATTTATGTAAAACAAATTGTTTTATTCCTCCATTAATGCACTTACCTATTATATTTACAGTTTTATACCTTTAGTTTTAAAAATTGTCCGATCGTTTCTATGAACCTATATGTCCATTCTGACCCGTTCTAACTTATATACTTGTGGGAGCATAAGAAGATTAACAGCAAAGTTTCATTTTTCATATTTTGTAATATTTTCATCTCCTTTTTGAATTTGAATTTTTTTACAATTTCTGTTTTAATTTTACGAAAATCTGTCAACTATACTGCAAAACTGTAAATTATTTATTTATTTATATAAAGCTAGCGGTTAAAACTGTAAACTGTAAATTACTTGCCTGATATTTATACATGTTTCTCTTTCTTTTTACTTTACCAAAATGAATGGTTAACTAAATGATCAAATTGCTAACTGCTAGTTCTATAAAATTTGTATTTTACTTCACACTCTGTGTCTAATAATATTTTAAGGATATGGAATTGCTACACCAAAGGGATCGCCATGGCGAGATAAGATATCGTTGGCCATTCTAGAGCTACAGGAAAAGGGAGACATTCAAATGCTGTACGATAAATGGTGGAAGAACACTGATGAGACGTGTACCAGAAAGAGTCCAAGCAAACAATCGAAAGCCAATGCCCTGGGACTCGAGAGCATAGGTAGAAATTTATCTATTTTTTTATTTCTGTCAAATTTCTCCATTTCTCCATTTTAAATAAGGTGGCGTATTTGTCGTACTAATTGCCGGAATTTTGGTTGCCGTCGTCGTTGCCCTTTTTGAGTTTTGGCTTAATTTTCGACATAACCACGAACCGAAGGCTGTACCTTGTTCTGATTTGTTGCCGGGTGGTAAAACTGTTCCGGAAACTAATGAAAGGACATATATACAACCGAAACGCTGCTTCTGGATAGAGATTTTCGAAGAGTTACGTTATGCATCGTGGTGTCTGAACAAGCCAAAGAGGCCAGAGCTAAATAGAGTGTGCAGTAAATGTAAGAATACATCAAAGCCAATTATATAGCGATATATTTATTATGTAAATGTATGTTAAATGTGTATCTATCTTTATCGTCTGGAAATGAATTTTTTTTTTAACTTGTCTATCAATAAATGTGTGTAGGGGGGCGATCCTGCCGCTAAAGATCCTTGGAGTTAAAAATAGCTCGCGTGACGCAGTCGAAAAAAACTATAACCCGTAGAGGTTAAAAAGAAGTCGGGGGCGTAGGATTTATTTCGCTGCATACATAGTACAGTCGAGTCCCGATAATTCGTACCCCGCTAAATCGAAAATCGCGATAATTCGTAAAAAATTCTGTCCCCTTGAAAAAAACTCGTTAATTCGTAAAAATTCCATACATTTTGGTCCCCTCGTTAATTCGTATTATTTGTCGCAACGCAAAGAATATTGAATCCCTTATAAATCGTAATTTTGTTTCGTAACCTCTTATAAATCGTAATGCAATGCGAAATTTTTTGTAGTTATAGTACCGTTAGATTTTGAAGACAGCTATTATTTTAAGGCTTGAATTTTTATTTTTTATAATTTAATGTTCCTGCTTAATTGTTTAATTTTTTGTTATTATAATTTTATGTTATTGTTTAGTTTTCCTTTAATTTGAAAAACGTACAAATGAATGTACATACTTATGTTTGTTTAATTTTAATAAAGTTAAATACATATGCAAACATGGTGTGAAATGTAAAAACCCCGGTTATTCGACTCTTTCATTTTTGAGCCCCGTTAAATAGAAATCTCGATAAATCGAATTCCCGTCTAATTCGTAAAAAAAAAGTGATCCCCTTGCCATTTCGAATTATCGGGACTCGACTGTACTAAATAGATTGAACATAAGGACCGCGCGCCCGAGCGATAAGCTAAGCTCAACAGTGCGAGAGCGGGCGGAAAGTGGAGCGCGAACTAGCCGTCGCTCAGCTCACTTAGCAGCGAGCGAAGCTCGGGAACTCGGGAGCGGACGGTCGCGAATATCGAAGAGAGGAGAGCGGGAGCACGCCGAAGTTTATATACCGTTGCAGATAGAGCTTCAATGACTAGGAATCCATACAATATACGATATATATATTTGTGTTAAGAAACAATGAAGTAATTATTATTAATATTGTATTTACAGTTTTACATTCACAGATTTGCATTTTTCCTCTACATCTAACGATCGTTTGTACGGCGTCTATATGATATAATCGTCCGATTCTCATAAAATTTGAGAAAAAATTTAAGACTAATATAAAATGGCTATATTTCAAATTTGATGAAAATCTGTTGGAAACAAAAAAAGTTATAATTTTTAATTATATTAATTTCTCGATTGTTCTATGGGAGCTATAGGATATAGTAGTCCGATCTCCATAAAATGTTACACAAAATTGTAGAATAGTAAGAAATGTCTATATTTGATGCCATAGCCGCCATAGGAACGATCGGAAAATTTGTAGAAAAAAAATTATAACTTTTTTAGTGTTCAATACATGTTGATCAACTTTGAGATATAGCCATTTTATATATTATAATATTTGGGTTTTAATTTTATGACAATCGGGAGACTCTACCATATACCTGCCATAGGAACGATCGAGGAAAAGCCAAACTATGAATGTAAAATTGTAATTATAAGCGTAAACTGTAATGAAAGTTAGAATTATTTCGTTGTTTATATTGTATAATTATTAATGATCGAATTGATGATGATGATATATTTAAAGTTTTAGTGGTAAAATACGTTCTTATTTTATGTTAGTACTACAATATTAGTTGAAAACAAGAAAGGAAGCTAACTTGGGCACGCCGAAGTTTATATACCCTTTCAGATAGATTATCGACGACAATACAACAATAATTTGATAAGAATCAGTTGAAAACTGAAAAAGTTATAATTTTCCGATTTCACCTATGTCAGCTATATGATATCGTCGTCCGATCCGGCTTGTTCCGGCATATATACGAGTGAGAGTATATAAAAGACTACTGAAAAGTTGAATTTAGATAGCTTCAAAACTGAGGGACTAGTTTGCGTAGAAACAGACAGTCAGACTTGGCTAGATCGACTCTGCTATTGATGCTGATCAGGAATATACATACTTTATATGGTATAAGGTTCCTCTTTCACTGCCTTGCAAACGTCTGACTAAAATTATAATATCCTGCAAGGGTATAAAAAAGGCATAGTTACCCTTTTCAAAGTTCTAATGAACCCGCTTAAGTACAGAGATGGTAAAACTGTTTAAGAGCGGAAAATCTTTTGTTTATTAATTCGAAGTGGTCATACTTTGTTGGCCATATTTTAAACTTCAGGAACATTCTAAATTTGATGCTTGGCTTTTGATAATATTAGTCTCTTAGCGATTGGCATGCATTCTAGCGGCCGTGCCTCCATTGGATAAATATGATAGCAATTTGGAGAACCTGTACCTTTAAATGATTGGAAATGGGCTGTAAAAGAGCTTCAGCTAAGGCAAGCCCCGGGTACAGCAGGCTACCGAAATCTAATGACATCCAACATAGTCTATGTCAGCGACATGCAGAAAGTTTAACAACCCAAAGTATTGGATTGGAGTATTCCCGCCATGGATCCATAATTAGAAATTTGTTAAGGAACTGCGAGAGAGCAAGATAAATAGTCGAGAGTTGTCTGTAATATTCAATTAGTTCTTCTTATTCGCAACCGTGCCACCGTTTAATACGGCGCTCACGAACTGCCATGCTTAACTATTTGCCTTCATCAATGTCTCAATGCTTTGAAACAATATTTTACCCTCTCCGATCCGTACTTGACGAATGCTTGCGTCCAACAAAACAAACAAACCGATTAGTGATGATCAGAAATTAGTGATCAAGAATCGTCTGGAACTTATTGTTATCGTGCGGCTTCCCCCTTCTCTTTTTATGATCGCTAGAACTGGGCGTTTTCCTAAACACAAAAAGTTTGTGGCATAGACGTTAAGAAAACGATTTGGACTGTAATGCTAGTTTATTTACATGTATTGTACATAACTTTGTGTGTTATTTAAGCTTAAATTTTTTGAATAAAAGTAATTGGGATAGATAAATAAAAAACATAAAAATGTTATTTTAACAATATATAAAATATAACAAAAATGTATATATTCTCATTTTTCTTCTACAAGTAAAACTGGAACTTTATATAAGATTTAAGCCTGACAACTACTCTGAAACTGAATTTTATCAACAACAGGTTACAACTCTTTAAAAATAGGGTGTTTTTTATTTATTTATTTTTGTTTGGAAATGCTATCACACACCGCGCCGTTTAATAAAAACATTTTTATGAATATACTAGGTTCATTCAAGCACGACGTAAGGCAGAACGATCAACGGCTCGTTGTTGTATGATTTCAGTTGGAGAACTTGATGCCATTCCTTAAATTCTTGAAAGCGGGTCGCACTGGCAGTTGTTCCATTAACTTCGGGTAAAGATCGATAGCCAGTGCGATATTCAAGGCCAATTAGGGGCAATTTCTTGACAGAGGAAGTTCCGGTAGGAGTTTCCAAGTGATTATTGTTACAGTATTTGTTATTACTTCCATTCGAATAATCATTTTGTGAATCAGTTTGGATTGAATTGAATGATTTAAGCAAATAATTGTTTACACAATTGTTCTGAGTTTCTTGAAGGGTTAAAGATTCTCCATCACCATCTATATCCTCATCACTTGATGATAATGCAAGTGAATCATCGCTACTCGTTTTATCCTCCCTCGTATCAGTCTCACTTTGTAAATTACATCGGTTTTTATCGGAAGTGGACGGGTTTTTCGCTCCCGATTCTTCTCCTTCCACTTCACTTTCCTCGTCGTAATCTGAGCTGCTGCTGCTATAATTAAACATTCTTTTTTTCGTACCTAAAGCACGCTCGCCGTACAACTCGTGCTGAAAAAATAATTTCTCACGCATTTTTATGTCCGAGGTTTCTTTTAAATTAAATATTTGGTTAAGATCCAAGTCAACTTTTGGAGTTCCTTCGCTTAAGAGGTGCTTGCGATAACGATAACGATAACGATGAGGACGAAACGGTAGTTTCGTCAATTGACATTTTGTGCGGGGAATTGGAACTGAAACTGGAATTGCCACTTTTTCAACACCATTTTCCTCACTATTTCTTGTAATAGTTGGTGAAGTGATTGTTGTAATTGGTGATGGCAAAGTCTTTGTTGTACTAGGTGTTGGTAAAGCCCTCGTTGTAAAATTGGGTGGATTCATTGTGGAAATAATTGAATTGGCCGGCAAGTTTATTTTACTTGGAGTTTTCTTTATTGTCAACACAATATGATCGTGACTCGTGACTGTTGGTCGTTGGACAATGGCATACTCTTCGTTATTTTCATAAACATTCTCATTTTTATCCTCACTATCACTGTCACTGCTACTGTTATTATAACTAGTTTTAATATTATTATTCTTACCATTTCCATAGTAATTATTCCTTTCTTTAATTTTGTCGACTTCCAATTGCACTTGATCGTTGACTATCTTTAATAAATTATTACTTTTAGGGATATCTGGTACGGAGTATCTTGAAGTGTCATCATAGGATGATACTGTTCTACGACGAATTTTTATTGGGACCGCATTTTCATTATGGCTGCTATCCATCACATCAATATTTACATTTAGCGGCGGCATTTCAATGGAAACATTATAATTATTACCTGGATTCTGGGACAAACGATTAATGGATATGTTGAGTCTTCGTTTAGCACGACGGCAGGTAGGCAAATATTTGGCCACACCCAAAAATGGCGCTATCAGAGACTTAAATGGTTTCGCTTTGAAAGGTTTCAAGAACTTCAAAGAACTGAGGTCCTTTTTAATACGGTCCGAAGCTATGAAACCATATTTGGGCACAACATCAGCTCCATCAGTGACCGTATATAAGGAATCCCAGGGTTGCATCGAGCTTTTTTCAATATCATCCCAATTTCCATTAATATTTGGTATATAGTAATTATGCAAGGCATTTATATGAAAACCGGTCACTTGGTTTGTCTGTACATAAAACCGTTCCTTTGCCAGACAATTGGGATCTTCCTGAACAATAAGAGAGGAAATGATTGGGAGATTGGCTTCAATTGTTTGACTATTTTCCTTTTCCAGTTCCTGGGTATAATTAATATCAAGTTGTGACACATTCGGAACTTCCAAGTTTTTCTTTCTTTCCTCCATTTTAACAACCGGTTTATAATCTAGCATTATTGTATGCAAATCATCGTTATCGTCATCAAAATCAAGATCAAAGATCGACCTCACAGGCTTTAGTTGACTTTCCACCACTTCATGATCATTATCTAATCGTTCTATCGGTGGCAATATATCTTTTTGATCCTTTCTGTGCACTTTCACAATATTATCAGTATTTGTATTACATTTTGGCTCACTTATTTCAATATTATCGCAAACTGCATTTTCTGGTTCTCCTTTTATCTCATTTTTATAGTCATCCTCTATAATGACACATGAACATGGTACCAGTTCGGCCAAATACATTTGCTCGATTTCATACACGCTCAGCGGACTTTTCAAGCTATGTATCAAGTGCATTAGTTGAGTTGTAATGTCATTTAGATTTTCCTTTTTCATGATCATGTTGCTCTTGCCAAAGTTTCCAAACGAATTGCTATTACTATTATCCAAGGAAGTACCCTTAATTTCCTGCGATTTATTACTGTCACGAGAAGGTTCTGAGGTGGCAGTATCGCTATCCGTATTTTCAGCATCTGCAAGTAAATTAATTATTATATACATATTATTGTATTATTTTTTTTTTTAGCAACTCCCACACTTTAAAAATGAAATGAGAAAAACATTTTAAAGCGATAAATAATTATTTTCTGTTAATTTATCTGAAATCCCCCCTTTGAAAATGAAGCCGAGTTGGCGAAGTTTGAATGTTTCAAACGCAACTTGGTCTGTATCCTAAAAAGTTAGCTGATCATATACAAAATAGAGCGGATTTATTTTGTTCAAGTGGAATGTGAATACCAAAATTCTGGTCAAAATTTTGAAATTTTATTTGGATTTTAACCTTAAATTGCTAAAAATCAAAAGAATGATTATCTACCCTCACTTTTTTGTAGGTAAGATATAGAGACCTGTTTTATATAAGGCCTACCATGTCCCTTAAAATAGCCGCATCTTTGTTTTGACTATATTGAACAAAAAACAATTTTTTTCCTACAACTTACCTAATTTATTTGAGAATGTATCGACACCCATTAAAGTAACATTGCCCGAATAAGTTTCAATAATTTGTGGCGAATGTATAGAAGTATCTGTTAAAAAATATATATATATTATGGGAATATTATAAAAATTATTTTTTTTCTAAGCCTTACCTGAACAAGATGAAGTCGGTCTAGGAAACATGGTTGTAGCCTGTTCTGCTCGATTTGTGGTTGAAGAATTCGAAAGATTGCTCGTTGTAGAGACACTTAATTTCCTGCTTTGAATTTCATTAAACAATTCTTTTGTGGTTTTCACCTTTTTTACAGTAGAGCCTTGACCAAAAAAGATTTGTTGCGAAAGGCTAGTCGATGATTCCTTGGCTATCACAGAGTCAACACCTTTGGAACCTCTTTTTCGACCTCTTTTTTTTTGAAGATGCAAGCGAGACTGAGATGTTGTGTTTTCCAAATCATTGCTGCCCAAAAGTACGGCTTGTTGCATAGCTGCATCAATTGTAGACTCTATTTTCCTGTTGCTATCTTCTACATTTAAAGGCGACAGCCGACTGCAAGAGGCTCCACTCGAATCGTATAAATTATTATAATCATCATATTTTCCAGTGTGCTTCCTAGATGATTCATTGCTTCGTATAGAAAGAAGGCCAACAGTGTTATTATTTTGACTAGAGACCGACTTAAATCTGCCGGTAAATGTCAATTCGCTGGAGTTTAATCTCTGTTTATTATGCTGCGAGTTTCCCAATGTGTTAGTGGTTTCAGCAGAAAATATTGAGCTCATTGAACTGTTTGAGAGGGAAAAAATTTCTGTAAAAGAAGAAAAAATGTATGTAACAGGAACACAATAGAAGTATAAAATATTTTTAAAAACTTTTGCTAGTTTCTCATATAAATTTATCTCTCATCCCTTTGCAACCTATATGATGTTCAATTTTAATTTAAAAATCGCCCATCCGAAAAATACAATCCGGAAATAATACTAAGCCTATCCCCATTCAAAAAAAAAAAATACTCCATACATAACCTACCATCAGCTCTGGCACTCCATTGAAAACTCTCTCCATAATCACCAATTCCTCTACACAGACGGCTAAAAGGCCAACGAAAGTTTGAGCTAAACCGTAACTAATAACGGATACTATCAAATCTGGACTCCTACTCCTCCGTCCTTACAAGTAAAATAATAAAAATTGTATGCCAATGCAATAATCATTAATAAGCTTGTGTTTACCAAAAGACCATGAATGCATTTTTTCAAATTTTTGTGTTATTTAACATCTATATCTATCTATAACATCTCTAAAATATTGTCCTGCGTATTCAAGTTGATCCGACTAATAGTTTAGGAGATACAGCCTTGAAAAGGTGGACGCTTGAAGGTATAGGCTGAGCGCGCAGTATGTAGCTGGGTGCAGCTCGTCTATTGTTACCCTACTCGTGAAGCCAGGACTCGTCATAGACAGCAGCCAAAGGATACCCTGGACATTGCAGTTGCAGCAGGGTCTCTACATTATACAAAAAAGAAAACTCAAACGATCTTAATGAAATTCCACACAGGTCTTCGAGATATCTTTTACAAGGTATTGAATGAAGGATTTTTTTAAATTATATGTAACTATTAAAAAAAAATGTTGAGAAATTTTGATAGAAATTTGCATTTTTTACAAACATGTTTACCCAAACTCCAATTTTCATTATTTTTTTCCCTTCGTACAATACCTATTTTTATATTAAATAATCCTGAAAGAATTTTTGCTGACAACGCGGAGGCGGGACTGCCGGAAATAGCGTCGTAAAGATCGCCTTTTGGATTTTTTATACCCTTGCAGGGTATTATAATTTCAGTCAGAAGTTTGCAACGCAGTGAAGGAGGCACCTCCGACTATATAAAGTATATATATTCTTGATCAGGATCAACAGCCGAGTCGATCTAGCCATGTCCGTATGTCCGTCTGTCCGTCTGTCCGTTTCTACGCAAACTAGTCTCTCAGTTTTGAAGCTATCTGAATGAAACTTTTATAAACTTTGTTAGTCTTCTATATACTCTTACTCGTATATATGTCGGAACGGGCCGGATCGGACGACTATATCATATAGCTGTCATAGGAATGATCGGAAAAGTTTTACAAACAAAAATTATAAAATTTTTAAATTTCAACAGAATTTTATCAAATTTGAGATATAGCCATTTCATATTATTCTACAATTTTGTGTAAAATTTTATGAAAATCGGACTAATATATCATATAGCTCCCATAGGAACGATCAAGAAATTTAAGAGGAATGAGAATGGCGGTGGCTGTTGTCGGAAGACTGACAATCGCGGTGGCGATAACATTTTTAGTTTTCAACAGAATTTAATCAAATTTGAAATATAGCCACTTCATATTATTCTACAATTTTGTGTAAAATTTTATAAAAATCGGATTACTATATCATATAGGTGCCATACAAACGATCGTTTGATGTAGAGGAAAAATGCAAATCTGTGAATGTAAAACTGCAAATATAATATGTATAGGTGAATGAAATGAAAGCAGGTATTACTTCATTGTTTTTTAACACAAATATATAATTTATATTGTATGGATTCCTATTCATAGAAGTTCTATCTGCAAGGGTATATAAACTTCGGCGTGCCGAAGTTAGCTTCCTTTCTTGTTTTTGTATAAATTATAAAAAGTTTCATTAAAATATTTCATTTTTTATGTTTGCTGCTTCTACAATATCGAAGAAAAATTTGTATAAGTGGTAAAAAGACCTAAAAGAGTGTAGGGATCTTGTTGATAATGACTTGATGATAAGCTACGTCAGCAGATGAGCAACACGATAATGGAATGAAGGAATAAAGGCAAGGACGGAGGGACTTTAAATTTCCCTTGATTGGGGATATTTTCAATGAACAAGCCCAACACTATATCAATAAGGTCACGTCACACCAAAATATCCTGGTTAGGGTGGACTCGGCGAAGACCCAAAAGGATTCATCCTTCGGAACTCCTCCTCACACTATTGTTTAAGTTGCTGCACTACAATAACATGCAATAATAAATTCATTTTAACTTTAAAATTTCACAAAAATAATTTTTGCGTTTAAACATTCGGACATGGCAAAAACGACTCGGCTGTTAATGCTGATCAAGAATATATATGTAAGTATACTTTAGGTAATTACTCCCTTCCTGCGTTGCAAACTCTAAAATAAAATAAATATATGGTGTTGGAAGCGTAGCGATTATACAAAAAAAAAATTTGTTTTGAATTCCAAAAGGAATAACCCCTATTTTAAAATTTTTAATTTAGGGAATTGTTTTAACATTTCCATTTTACATGGTTAGTATCGTGATACCGAAAATAATGCATAACTACAACTCTGTAAATAACATATGGGTCCTACCTGAATCCGCCTGTGATAATGCCTCCGCAACTTTTGAATTAACCCCTCGTACATTCTTTACATCTTTATCCTTGTGTTTTTTGGCCTTTTTTAATTTCTTTTGCCTAGGACTCGGACTTGGTATGGGTATTGGGTTAGCATGTATTGAGTTCTGGACATTCCCTCGCTGGGACGATGCAACCGCACCGCTATTGTGATCAGTCTCATCCGAATCGGACGCTATATCAATGACCACGGCAGGTTCGTTATCGGTGTTTGCGATGGGTGGTGCCTCTTGCCTTGTCAATATGTTCCTACTTTCCTTGTGGATATTATTAACCAAGTTGGAGAAACTGGTATGGTGCACAGCATCGGATAAATGCTGTGTTTCTGGATGTATAATTTGCTGTGTCGGCGATAATGGCAAATGGATCGTGACTTGATCTAGATCGGTTTTGACGAAATCTGAAGAGGGCTGCTGTAGCTGATGCAGGCTTACACTACTTAACTGCTGCGACTGCGGCTGTGACTCGTTGACGTTCTGCTGTATGCCCACCATTTCACGCCATTTCTTCAGTAAAGATTTGGCACGTCGCGCCAAATGTTCATTTTTGGTTCGCCGCCTCAATTGGTTGATGTACTTGGCCAATCGGGTGGCCTCCAGTTGCTCCTTTGTAATTGTTGTACCCTCCAAGGCACATATAACCGACAGCACCGCCTCCATATTAACAACCTTAATAATGAATAGGGAGACAATAATTTTAGAAAGCCTTAATATAAAGAAGAGTTCCCACTCACATCGTAGTTTTGATCAAGTGCCTGGGATAGGTGAGAGGTGAGTTGCTGTATTTGGTTTTGGTTCATTTATAGCTCCAACGACGATGGCTGGCAACAAAAAAATATATATAGATGTTTTTATACATGGTAGTATTAAAAATTCGCAATATATTTTTGAAAATTATTAAGCAATTATTATAGATTCACTGAATGGTGCACACACGTACACACACAATTGCAGCTCTGGAAAGCACCTCTTACAATATGAAGTGAGTTCGCACAATCAATTAATTTGCGTTATCGGCGTAGCAAATGCTTTGTTCGAAAATGTGTTTACATATATCGGTCGCAAAATGTTCAGTAAATTAATTATTTATTTTCAATTTTCGACACTAGCACAATCGCCATTTTTACTATTGACAGCTGCACTCTGCGAGTGGTGATACCTTGCCGATATGTTGCAAATGTCGATAACTCCGTACTTTTATATCGTTGAATATTAATTTATTCACACTGGTGCTTCTCTAGTGCTGTGTAGTACACACTGGAGTCCGGTGTTGCCAATTTGTCCTTTTTTTTGAGAGATGTGTCCTTTATTAAACTTCTTTGTCCGCAAAAATGTTAAATCATCATTTCTTCTAAAAACGATTCTTTTTTTTATTTTATTTTGCCATTTATCACCTTTTCTTTTTCTTTTTTTCTGTTTTCGGATTGAGGATGGGGATCTAGCTCTGTAGTTTCACATCTGAGAAAAATCCCAACTGTTTCACTAAAATGGATTGTGTTGGAAGGCAATATAAACGTCTCATAGACAGGAAATCGTTTGGTTGCATCTGCGAGACTTAAACAATTTTATTACATGATGCTCTTCGGTAAAGGTACGGTATTGGGGGTAAAACTGTTAGACAGCGCGAAAAACTTAATTTTTCTGATGTGTGATCGCTCTTTTCACTAGTTTACCGGCATTTTTTGGGGCAAATGATGCGTTCATACTTTGTTGCCCCGGCTATTTTAAAACTTAAGACACGTTCAACATTTGACGCTTGGTATTTGGTTAATATTTGTCCCAAAGCGATTGGCATGTAATCTAGCGGTGGCGCCTTCCTTGGACAACTCCCAGACGACTTAATATGACAGCTATCTGGAATACCTGTACAAGAAACTCGGATGATTTGATACGGGTGGATCAAAGGTCGGTTCATGAAAAAATCTAGAGCTTCTCAGATCGACAAGCTGAGCTGTGGAGCTGTCTAATTTTGTCATATATCTTTGGCCTACATCTTCCTAATTTATATTTTTCTTTAAAGTTTCCATCTTCCCTACAAAATAATATAATATATATGCCAGAAACCTGAAATATTGTATTTCCTTTTACTTATTTAACTGTATTAACTCTATCAGGTCTTTTGAACTCCCGCACATTTAAGTTAATTAAAATATGCAAAGTAACTGCAAGTGAGAGCGAGAGGCAAACGTATTCTTTGTATTCTTTTGTATTATTTTTGCAAGCCGCTCGCAAAATACTATAAGTGTGCCGTCGAGAATATCCTAACGCCATCAACCTTTCTAGAATTTGTAATCTTGAAAACTGAGTTTTATCATAACCATACCGAGCGAAAGGATGAATTTTTGGTAAAATTATAAATTAAATTGACACACAGTGGCTCTTTCTGCTCACTACTCTTTCCTTTTTAATAAATTAGGATTCTTGTCTAGCTGGAATGCAGATCGGGCTGCAGTTGCATTGGAGTCCGAAATTGATAGTTGTCGAAGTTTGTAGTAGTTTGGGTAAAAACGTTGTCTTATAAAAAGGAGAATGTAGCTGTAAGGTGAAGTCTTCCACACCAAATTTCTTAATTACGCAGTACTTCGAGACCCAGAATGCATCAGAAGATAGTGATCCATTACTATTTTATAGTATTAATAACTCAACGTTCAATCGAATTATCTAATCTAATTAATTAAATTTAAACTGCATGTATTCTGTTGCCCAAAATAGTTGTTAACTTATTCCGCAGGAGCCATTTTAACAAAGCTTTGTTTACATTTTCGATAAGCCACAGATTTTCGATCAGCTGTTATCAGATGGGAGATGGAGATGTGGCTCTGTGTGAATCGGTGTTTCAGATCTCCGAAAAATCCCAACTGTGTCACACGGATGAACCAAAGCCAAAAAAGTCTAAGATGAGTAACGGTCATACATTAGTTTTGCAATATGAGGCTTATTTTTTGATTTCAACGACAATCGCACTCTCACAAAGTTGAGAGTGTAAAAATCTAACAACAGAGTGCGCTTGCTTCTATGAGTGAACATAAGAACAAGCAAGTGTGAATGTGTTTTTTTTTTGTGTATTCCATAATTTTATTTATCCCGGACCTTACGCTAGTGGTGATTAACCTAACTACAAATAACAAAAAAAATACAACTAACACGGAAACGTGGGTTGGGCCTGAACGAATGGTTGTGCGCAGTGCGGTATCGCCGCCTGGCAATGCTTCGCGTGCGCGGAGACCCCTACTCCTCCTGATCCTTCCGTTTGCGCTCCAGGTCCCTTAGTGCCTTCATGACAAGCGCCACGAATGACGCAGCTGCTTTTCACACTCTCCGTCGTCCATCATCCTCGCCACTGATAGTGCACCCTGCTACCGCCTCCAGCTTCTGCCTCTCGAAGCTGAACCTGCGGCACTTAAAGAGGACGTGCTGTGCCTATCCTCAACGATACCCGAGCCACAGTCAGGGCACCAGTCTTCCGTCTTGTGGCCGAAGCGCTTGAGATAGCTGCAGAAACAGCCGTGACCACTAAGCGCTTGGGTTAGGTAGTAATCCACCTGACCGTGCTCCCTCTCCACCCACCGCCATATGTATGGGATTAGGGTGTGCGTCCGGCGACCCTTTAAAGAAGGGAGAAGGGAAGATGAGAAGTCCATCTAGCCTGCCAGCTAGATAGCGCACCTGCAGTCCCGCTGGCCTTTTTGTGGACGTAGTCAAGATGCTCCTTGAATTACAGGCGCGTGTCGATGAGGACGCCGAGATACTTGATCGCGCGTATCGTAGTTCCCCCAACCACCACGCTGGCTGACTCCACCACCTTCCGTCTCGAGATCAGGGCGGGCTTCGTTTTATAGGCCGCCAGCTCGAGACCTGCGACCGCTAGCCACGCCTCAACGGCCTGGATGGATGTGTTGGTGCGGGCTTCCATTTTAGCGAGCTCCTTGGCTACCACCACTATGGCGGCGTCGTCAGCAAAACCCACAACGTTGGTAGCAGTTGGCATTGGCAGTCATAGTACTCCGTCGTACGTGGAATTCCAGAGCAGGGTTCCCTAAACGGAGCCCTACGGGACTCCGTCTGAGACTTTGTATGCTCTGGAACCCTGACTCATTTCCATCATGACTACTCTATTGCTGAAGTAGCTGTGCGCCATTTCAGCAGGTACCCGGGATATTGAAGCTACTGAGGGTCTCCAGAGTTCAGCCCAACGATCGTAACGACCCTCGTGATAGCGTCCAGCGTCGACTTTTCTTTGTAGGAGAGGCACCAGCAGCTTCTCCAAGGCCTTGCTCTTACTGTCCAGTAGGCTGATTGGCCCTTAGGAGGATGCGTCCCCTGGTGACTTGCAGGGCTTGACCAGCTGTGTAGGCCTCGCTGATTCTCCAACTCGTGCGTCGTCCCAGCGAGCTACTACATCTGTACACCCAAGGGCCGCCAACGTTCGCCCAAACGAATTCCTCGGCCGCCTTAATGTTCCGCTGCTGCATTGTGTCCCGGCTCCCCGCATTTGATGCAGCATTCACTCCGATTCACATCGCTGCCTTTAGCCACCTTCAGAAGCAGCTGCGATATCTTTCCCCCAGATGGGGATTATTTGCTGCTCCTTGTCCTTTTGGGCTCTGTGCTTTAGCAACCAGGCTCTCCTACCTGTCGCTTACTCCCTTAGCGGCTGGTCTACTCGCCTCGAGGATGCTCGAGTGCAGAGGGTTCATCTTTAAAAATATCTCGTCCATAATTTTGACAAATACTTCTTGCATCAGTTTTCCCAACTCCAGGAGATTGTCCAGGCTGGATTCTTGGGGCCAAGAGAAAGCGAAGGAAAAGAGGAGAGAACAGAAGAATGGGAGGTGAAAGGCGGCAATAGAGTTGATCCTACGTCTCGCAAGTTTCCCCCTCTCCCTTGCCCTTAGGTCCCTCCTCCAGAGCGAAGTGCCGAGATCTTGGGCGCCCGGTAAACCTGCCGGTACAAACCTGAGTTACAAAGTGTCTCGCACCGCACTTAAGTTGCCGTTTAGGGCCAGACTTTCACTTGCAGTGTCATTTGGAAGAAAAACTTGCAGAGCGCGGAAAAACACAACTTCACATCACCCGGTGTTTTTTTTTATTTAAGACAAAATAAAACATAGGAAAAGGAATGGAAACTTAAACTATTTTTCAAAAATATACGGGTATTAGTAAGGTTTGAAGTTTGAAAGGTAAGAAAGTCCGCTCCCGCAGAAGTACCGCATAGCTATACTTCGCGAGGGCGGTTGGCGGTCATGCTGCCGAACATCGGTTGCCTTCACGCATCACAGCAAGCGCACTCCAATTGGAGGGGCTCTCCAGCATACGGGCGATCAGGTTGTCTGGTGTGAGGCGACTGTTTGTGACTGCCACCAGCGCCACTCGTTCTGCCGATAATAGTGGGCACACGAAGAATCTCGATTAATTCCCTATCACAGTGGTCGCAGTGTGGGTCGACCTCGTGCTTGAACCTATACAGGTATGCCTTGAAGCATCCATGTCCTGTGATGATCTGCGTGGTGTGGTAATCTAGCTGTCCGTGCCTTCTCAGCACCCATGAAACCAGGTGGGGGTTGAGCTTGTAGGTCCATCCCCCTGTGTTTGCGTTGTCCCATCTCCCTTGCCACAAAGAAAAAGTCCAGCTTCGCTGGATCCTGCTGCCCGAGTTTCCTGATATGCGCTCGTCTGCAAGCAGGTCTAATGAAATTGCTGACGATACCACCAGTACACCCTCCTCTGACACAGTGCAGAAACAGCTGGAGATGCGCAACGCGCAGCGTGTGTAGACAGACTTGCACTGCCGGCTGTAGCTAGCAGGTTTCATGGTTTCGGCCGATATGGTGGCGCTGCATATGGGGTGGTCGAGGTCACCACTGACTCCTAGGTACTTTATGGCCAGACTGGACTCGATGGTTATCGAGCTGACCCTAAAGTTAACTTTTTTGACGACCTTTCTGCTACTTATCAGTACTGCTTCCGTTTTGTGTTCTGCAAGCGAGAGTACGTTATCTGTCAGCCATGACAATTGCAAGGCTGCATTTTTAGGAGACGTCGGCCAGGTGCTTCTCCACAGTGACCAGCGCTATGTCGTCCGCGAACCCCACAACGGCGCAGCCATCCGGCAGCGGAAGCCGCAAATCCCGACATCTAGGGTGCAGACAATATTGCTTGGTGTCTACCTGCCATCTTTCGCCTTCGATCGCGTTTGAAGCCAACTGTGCTACCTCTCGAATAGCGTCAATCGTACTCCGCTTCTTCCTGAAGCCGTGCTGCCGGTTAGATAGGGCTCCTGGCTCTTCGATCGAGAATGGCAGCAGAAAGAGTCCAGTCGGACTTTTAAGCCAAATCCATACTGACTTTCATGCGAACCTGATCGGTAGGTATCTTTTATGTAACGTTCTCATTCGCTTTTATTCATGCGTGGCCGGGGTAATTCATGATGTCGACGTCGCTGCTCGACTCATGATCAAATTCATTCCGAGCGCTCAGTGGGGTAATTCATTGTGCCGCCGTCGCTGCTCGGGTCAAGATGAAATTCATCATGAGAGGTATGGAAAAAGTTCAGGAAAAAATGTCGATTCCAAAAGAAAAATATAAATATATGATGCTTCGACTTTTGTCGAAGGGTTCCTTGACCGCGAAAAAATAGTTTTAAACTTTCTTTAAAGTTGCTTATCACTATTTTACATATTAAATTTTTTTTTAACTAACTGTTTCGTTCAACAAACAACCCTTGCAACATCAATCGAAAATTCTTTTTATCGACAGCAACATTTAATTGCCAAAAATAGCTAAAATATTTTAAAAATAATAAATTAAATAGGTGTTATTTTTTTAAATGAAAAAGGTGATATTTTTTTAAATTAAGAAAGCAAGTATGAATATTAATGTTGTTTTTTAAATATAAATATGCCTGCAGAAATTATTTAAGTAGTCAACTAAATTAATTGCTCAATGCTATTCCACAAACAGGGAACGCGATTTAGTTTTGTCTTGTCTCTTGTTTGGTCTTTCCACAGAGATCCATCTGCCTTTCTCCTTCCGTTGAACGGTTCATTATAACAAGCTTCGAGTATGTTTTGGATGAACACTGCAACACTTAACAAAGGCTATTTACTAACTTACTAAATAAAAACTTTTTTCTTAATGTTATCAAAGATAATTATGGATGAAAAAATATGGTTTCTTGTTAAACATTGATTATTAATCGATGGTTTCCAGGAAAGTACTCACAAACATCAATTCAAGCAAACATTGATGTTTCTTCAACTCTACTTCACATGCATTCTAGCGTCTACGATTTGGAGTTTATAGACCATTACCATATGTGCCAAAGTTCATTTCGGAGATTCCTTATTTGACTAAATAATAGAATCTTGCCGATACATCGACGTTCAGTAAAAATAGTTTAACATCAAATCGATGTTTTCAACAGCAAACTCAACATTGATAGATTGACGATATCGTTTTCCTACCGTCACTAAGAGCACACGTACAAAACGAGGCAGAAGGTTAAGGGAATTTATGTGAACTTAAAATTTTTCTTGTACCTTATTTTGAATATATTTTGTGCTCCATGCACACTCTTCAGGGCATTAGGTCTTTGTTAAAGAATATCAATTTAGAATTTCCAATTCCGTGTCATCTAATTCATTTTATTACAGTGCCAACACAATCTGCCGCTATCTGCATGTTTTCTGTTACTGAAAAGCCCAAAATAGTTGGTAAATTATTCCTTCTTCGACTTCTTCCGACTTCGTATAAGCATAATCATTTATTATGATTCAAAATTTCAAGATCAGCATAAAAGGAGCGTATAAATGGTACGTAACCTTTTCGCGATATTAATGGATTATATCGATGGTTAAAATATCGATGAGTTAAAAAAAAAGAGAAATACATACCGAAGGAAATTGAAATATAAGTTATGAAATCAGTGGTATTCTTAGTTATAATGTATTAGTTATGGATAAAATAAATTTGACAACCCCCTTTTTCATATTACTTACAATTTTTGTTATGAGGTGTCCGGTAGAAAACTACAATTTAACAAATGTTTGGGAATGTCCCAAACTTTTAAGAAAAATTAAAATTTTAATGGCATATTACCACGTAGAGTTTATCCAAGCTAAAAAAGTAATTGGAATTTTGTTTTTAATATTTTTGTATTTAACCATATTTTTAGGTGTACATGAAAGACTAATGCGGTTGTGTGAACGGAATAAAAAGGCTTTGTGTTGGACAATAGGAATACCATTAATTTTATTCATTCTTTTTTTTTAAACTTCCTATTTTCCAATTTCAGGAAGTCTTAATATAAATATCTAATTATATATAAGTACATATGCATCAATATTTTCTAACCATATGTTAATTTATTTATAAAATAAAGGTATTATTTCTCACGTTGGAAATTATTAAATGATTTATCTAACTATTTTCAAGAATGAAAAAGTTTTATTGGTTCAATTATTCATCATAAATTTTATACATTATCCTGGGTGATGCATTTTGGAGAATTTTGGACAAAATTCAGTTTTCAAATCAAAAAAACTATTTAGGTTTTATTCCTCATATATATTTTAAAAATTATAAACTAGTTATTTTATAATTTTCAGAATTGCATAAATTTGATTATATAGCATTTATTATTATATTTAATATGGCTAACAGCATTTTTGGTGCATATGTAAAATGGCACAAAAATTGCAAGTATATGGTTTGTCACAAATTAACTATATGTAATATATATATATATATTGTATTATATATATATTATATATTTATATATACATAAATATATATATATTATTACAAATATACGTAATGGCACTTGAACTGAAACTTAAACAGCTAAATTATTCGTATTATATTTACAAAGCTTACGAATTATATTCTATTATTTTCCTTCAGTTATTCTTCACGTGATTTTTGTGTTTCCCTCTTACTTTCTTTGACAAAGAATAAAAAATTGGAAATTTCCTCGACCACATCGCATTGCTCAGGTTGGTATCGAAAAAGCGTAACAAAAAGCCTCAAATAAGAACAATCAACCGATGACCAATAAATAAGATGTTTTACACCCTTGCAGGAAACCACAACTTGGAAAACAGAGAGACCTGTACTTTCATTTTCTAACCTTTTCCCAATTTTTTTTTTTCAAAAATTTAATTAATTGTAAGAAAAATGAAATGAAAATTCGATACTACCCCTAAAATAACAAAACAAAATCAATAACCCCACTATCCGTTTGTCTTAGAACTGAAAAATATGGCGACATTGTTCGATATTTACGGATATAGTAGACATTACTGTACTTTCCCTCCATATAAAAATGAGAAATTCAGTCAAAATTGTTGAATTGGTATAATTTTAAATACATTATTGAATTCATATTTATAGTAGAAATATTTATTTCAATAACACCGCAATATTCCAAAAAATACATCGATAGTGCCGCCGCTTTTTTAAAGCTCTGTATGCAATCGATTGTGGGTAGTCTATTTATTTCAATAACACCGCAATATTCTAAAAAATACATCGTAGTGCCGCCGCTTTTTTTAAGCTCTGAATGCAATCGATTGTGGGTAGTCTATATGACCGATCGGACAACTATGACAAAATCAAAGCAAACAAAATTCCTATACGATGGCGATCCCAAAAGTTGCTAACATATAATGTTTGCAATTGAATTCATATATGACAATGTTTTGGATTTCTTCGTAATAGGCACAATAGCTAAAAATACTTAAGGATTATGGAGAAGAAAAGGTAATATCCATGGCTTGTGAGTGGGTATTGTTAAATATTTAGTGACCGACTTTTTTGGGTCGTTCCCACACCGCTAAATATACATACATATATAAATTATGCTATGATTTTAAAAGTTATACTACAAGCTGCAAGGGTATACAAGCTTCGGCCTTCCGAAGTTGGCTTTTTTTTCTTGTTTACGCAGGTTCGAGCTTTGCTTTATATCTTTAAATTCTTAGCTTTCTTAATCGTCCAATAGTTCACGTTGTGTGGACGCCAACTCCGTATCATCCGAAGACGAAAAGCCCGAAGGTGATAAGCTTTCTGGAGGATAAAAGAGTTGCTGCGAAGAAGGCGCTACAGCGTTGCCAACATCCTGTAAATGATATGCGGCTACGGCAACAGCTGCAGCCGCTGCATGCACATTGGGTCCATGTCCTCCCTCTCCGGAATCGGCACAGGCATTTCCCGAACCCGAGTCTCCACCAACGCCACCCGTTCGGCACCAGAGTTGTCTCATCTCAGCCCGTCGATTACGCATTAAGACCTTATATTCCGATATACGCATCTTTTTCCCATCAACAATACAGGTTCGCTTGGGCCGCGGGCGATAACGATAGTCGGGATGCTGTTCCATATGGAGCTTTGAGAGACGGGATTGCTCTTCGTAATACGGTTGCTTATCGGCGTTCGACATGGCCTTCCAACGGGCCCCCAAAATCTTCGATATATTTGAATTGTGCATGTCTGGACAAGCTTTTAATATTTTTCGTCTTTCATCTTTGGCCCAAACCATAAACGCATTCATCGGTCGTTTAATATGCGGCTTACTGTGTCCATGATTATGCCCGTGACTATGTCCATTGCTGCCCTGCCTCAGTGGCAGTGATGATGAAGATGTCGAAGGTGGGGGCGGCGGTGGAGCTATGGGCTGTCCAAGATTGACATTTTCGGGATCTAGAGCTGTTGATCTTTCTGAATTTGTACCGCAACTATTAATGGAATCTCGACTTAGTCGCATTGCCCGAGATCCACCAACGGCATTATTCCAACCTCCTCGGCACTGTAAAGAGATTCACACAATTAATATGTATCATGAAAACAAAACTTTTGTAAATATTTGTATAAAGTATCGTGATTTCTATGATTTCTATTTCGATATGCATTGACGCTATCAAAATTTATTTAAGTATTGAAGTTTAAATTAAAAAATAATAAAGTAAGCTAACTTCGGCACGCCGAAGTCTATATACCCTTGCAGATAGAGCTTCGATGACTAGGAATCCATACAATATAAGTTATATATATTTAGGTTAAAAAACAATGAAATAATACCTGCCTTTCATTTCATTCACCTATACATATTATATTTACAGTTTTACATTCACAGATTTGCATTTTTCCTCTATATCTAACGATCGTTCCTATGGGAGCTACATATATGATATAGTAGTCAGATTTTTATAAAATTTTACACAAAATTGTAGAATAATATGAAATGGCTATATCTCAAATTTGATGAAAATCTGTTGAAATCTAAAAAAGTTTTAATTTTTAAACGTATTAATTTCTCGATCGTTCCTATGAAGCTATATGATATAGTAGTCCGATTGTCATAAAAATTTAACACAAAATTATTTAGTAATATAAAATGGCTATATCTCAAATGTGATTAAATTCTGTTGAAAACTGTTATATATTTTTTTGTAAAAATTTTCCGATCATTCCTATGTCAGCTATATGATATAGTCGTTCGATCCGCTCCGACATATATACGAGTGAGAGTATATAGAAGACTAACTACAAAGTTTCATTAAGATAGCTTCAAAACTGAGGGACTAGTTTGCGTTGAAACGGACAGACGGACAGACGGACATGGTTAGATCGACTCGTCTGTTGATCCTGATTAAGAATATATATACTTTATATGGTCGGAGGCACCTCCTTCAGTGTGTTGCAAACTTCTGACTGACTGAAATTATAATACCCTGTAAGGGTATAAAAAAAGAAAATAATAATAATAATATAAATAAAGCATTAACTTGTACTCTAGTAAATTTTTACAGATTTTTCATCGATATGTATCTCCACCTATAACTAACAGCGATTTACACATTTTAATGGCCCAAAAAAGTAGTATAACGGGTCTAGAGCAAAATATTTCTAATGGTGTTTTTATACAGTTCTTTGAAAGACACTGTAAGTACTTTTTCTTTCGTAATAAATATTCAGATGATTAAAAATTATAAAGATTATTAAAAAGATTATTTATTTATTTATACCCTTGCAGGGTATTATAATTTAGTTAGAAGTTTGCAATGTATAAGATTCAGTATCATATAGCTGTCATACGAAGCCACCGGTCGGAAAATTATTAGAAACACAATGTATTCCTTTTCAACATATTTTCATCAAATTTGGAATATAGCTATTTTGTTTTATTTTTCAGAAAAATCGAGATATTAAAAAAATTTTAAAATAATAATTTACTCAGTTTTCAACATATTTTTATCATATTTGAGAAGTAGCCATTCTTTATTATTCTCGAATTTTGGTTTTAATTTTATGAAAAGGTGATTGAAATGAAAGTAGGAATTATTTCGTTGTTTTTTTAATACAAATATATACAAATGATTCTTTCTTATTATTTTTTAGTTTAGGGTTCACTATTTGGAGTCGTGTCCTATACAAATATATTAGTCGTATAGAGAATATCATGCATGGTTATGATGGAATTATTTCGTTGTTTTTTAATACAAATATACAAATGATCCTTTCTTATTATTTTTTAGTTTAGGGTTCACTATTTGGAGTCGTTTCCTATACAAATATATTAGTCGTATAGGGAATATCATGCATGGTTATGATGGAGGCCCTCCCCCCCGCTCTTGAGTTCCGAAAAACCAGAGTACAAATCGAAATAGTCGAGTATTTTCCTAGTGTGCAGTAATTTAGAGATAATACATACATGGCTTTTCATAAGAGACGACTCAATTTCGTTATAATGATGTCCTGGTCCTTGAGGTTGCCAGCTTAATGGCGGACTAGACACAAGGCAGGCTGTTGTGGGCAGACTTTCACAATGATAATGGTGACTATGTTCTTTGTGCTGATGGCAACTTGTCGGCGAAGAGCACGGTGACACCTTTGGCTTAGTTAGATTCAGTGGTGCCTCCATCATGTCAGAGTCCTGGATCGATTCACAGAGATTATCCGCCTTGGAACACTCGATAGCTCGGTTGTTCGTAGGCGACTCGGGCGGTGTATTGTGACTGTAGCAAACGGAGATAGCATAGGGGTTCTCAAATTGTGGCGACTCTGGTCTGGACATGGCGGAGGACGATGATCCATTACCATTGCCACCCCTTCGTTTTCCTCCGACCTCGAGATCAATGCTTGTTGCTGCTGGCTCACTATTATTATTATTAGTATTAGTTTTTGTATTATTTTTATTATTACTATTGGAGGCCGCGGCAACAGCTGCAGCCGCGAGAGCAGCCTGTATATGAGCCGCCGCCGCCACCGCTGCTGTGGACCACATTGTTGGTGTCATGGAGGACATTTTGTGTCCGCTCAGGGGATCAAATGCCGGGTGACCAGGTCCTGACGGCATTAACTGTAACAGCTGTTGCTGCGCCTGGTTTGGTATTGGCTGTGGCTGCAAGAAGGCGGGAAGGAATGGTACCAAGTTACCGGAGGACACGGCAGTAACTCCAGTCTGATGTTGATGTGGCGTCGGCGGAGGTGGTGCTGGGAATCGAACCGACGCGCCAAACTGATTGCTCAGCTGGTTATGCAACTCCTGGAAGCAGTTTTCATGCTGTAATCTTTGGACATTTTGTAGATGTTGTTGATGTTCAATGTCTGTCATCCCGTCGTAGTGAGGCTAAAATAAATATAATAGGAATTGCAATCGAATGAGCATATAGCTACCATAAAAAAATCAGTAAATTAAGTGAAGAAAAAATTAGCATTACGATTCTTGAATACACCCAAATTGTTATATCATATAGTTGTCATAGGAACGCTATCAATAAATTCAACTTATGGGAAAATACGCAAATGTCTTTCTCTCCTGTACAGGTTTTTTCCAATTGCAACTTCAAGGGTATTCAAGTTTGTTCTACACAAAGGTCACCTATCTATAAATTTGGAGCAGCGATAAAATGTGGCAAACACACATTTATGTAGAACGTTTAAAATGGAAGAATTTTTGAAAAAATAAATTATTTAAGCTTTTTACTGCCCCCTGCGAAAATGGTGATAGTTATTTGAAGCAAAAATAAAAACATTTTTCGAGCGAGAACCCAAGCTAATTTAAGAAAATTAAAGAAGAGTCAATATTGTTAAGATCTTGATAAAAATAGCCAATTAAACTACAATTATTATAATACATTTTTTGTTAATTTGTAAATTTTACCAGGGAAAAGACTAGCTCATTTGTCTTTTCCCTGGTAAAATTTACGAATGTTTATTATAGTATTCATCTTATCGTTGCTTTCTTCAGACATTCTAATTCATAACTTTCTTTATCCGTTCGGTTTCATTCGGGGGGCTCAAAAACTGCAACTACGATCCGAATTTTTGGTCGAAATGATCGAACAACAAGAAAGGAAGCTAACTTCGGCACGCCGAAGTTTATATACCCTTGCAGATGGAACTTCTATGACTAGGAATCCATACAATATAAATTATATATATTTGTGTTAAAAACAATGAAGTAATACCTGGTTTCATTTCATTAACCTATACATATTATTTGCAGCTTTGCATTCACAGATTTGCGTTTTTCTTCTACATCAAACAATCGTTTGCATGGCACCTATATGATATAGTTGTCCGATTTTCATCAAATTTGATACCAAAGTTAAGACTAATATAAAATGGCTAAACTTCAAATTTTATGATAATCTGTTGAAAACTGGAAAAGTTATAATTTTTAATTGTATTAATTTCTCGATCGTTCCTATGGGAGCTATATGATATAGTAGTCCGATTTTTATAAAATTTTACACGAAATTGTAGAGTATAATAAAATGGCTATATTTTAAATTTGATCCAATTCTATTGAAAACTGAAAATGTTAAAAAAATTTATGAACAATTTTCCGATCATTCCTATGGCAGCTATATGATATAGTCGTCCGATCCGGCCCGTTCCGACATATATACGAGTGAGAGTATATAGATCAAGAATATATATACTTTATATGGTCGGAGGTGCCTCCTTCACTGCGTTGCAAACTTCTGACTGAAATTATAATACCCTGCAAGGGTATAAAAACACCTCTTAACGAAGTAGGACCAAATTGACGATGGCACCTTCAATTCCAAAAACATGACATTATATGACATTTTATGATAACATGTAATAACCAAAATATTTAACCTGCTTGTAGTTTCTCACTCTTGTTAGACTTTAGTTTAAAGTCGGGACAATTGGCAACTAAGTACTGATAATGGAACAAAGTAAACTACTTGGAAACTACTTGAGCCTAGCGGGAAACAAAAAAAAACATTTTAATTAAATTAAAAAACATCGTCCGAGACGTTAGGCCAAATTAATAACCAGGGAATTTCCAAACGTTTTATTTAGTTAACAAATGTAATTTATCAAATTTAAACACAGTAGTTTCGATTCTGTTGACATCGTTTACTTAAGCTATAATTAGCTTCCAATATTCACCACTCACAATGTAATACAAACGAGCTTATGCCAGAAGTTCTTGATTTCAAAGGTTAATTTTTTTCACTCCCACAAGCGATATATTTATACATATATATAAATGTGTATATATATATTCTAAACGAATGTACATACATGTGTTGTGCCCTTACACAAGTAAGTCAATCCTCCTGCCAGCATAAAATGTTAAACACAGAAGGGGGATGTGGCCCCAGAAAATTAGTCACTGCGCCTGATTGGCCAGAGAGTCAGAGAAGGGCGATGGGACAATGGACAAATCGCGTGTATCCCGTATCCCGTATCCCGTATCGGTATTGGTATCCGTAACCGTAACCGTAACTTAACCGTTCTCTTCGGAGCGCGTAACGAACTCTCTCAAGCGAATGTCCGCTGGACCAGAATGCAATTATATAACGTTGTCTTACCAGCTTTGTTGGCGACCATAAACGTATTCACCTCCTTTAATAAAAGTAAGGTCCGCAACAGAGAGAAGTTATCGCGACGAAACCGCTTTACGTGAATACGAAGATTTCATGCACTTTCACTAACTGGTAAGAGCACTCACGTCGCATTAAGAGAATTCTTTGGTTCTCTTCGAAAAGGCGTTACCCAATCGCCCATTGCCACGCCCCTAAAGCAAGGTGTTCGAAGCCAAGCCTAGTTAGACATTGACACGCTTGTTTTGTTTTCGAAATTCGATCAAGAGATAATTAAAAAGAAGTTTAGTTTTTAGCAGACATTGCTTATATCCGTCGAAGAATTTTCCGTCGCCATTTCCCGTCGAGGCATCCCGAGCAACTGATGCTGGAGCTGGCGGCTGCCGAGAAGCTGCTTTTCAGTATTCACGATTCTCTTCTGCATGTCTTGCTCTCATCTCTCTCTTTCCACCCTGTGAACTTATAAGCTCGCCGCTGAGCGGTTGGTTGTTGGCACAAGTGACGTATAAGTGTGTGGGCGTGGATTTTATTGTTCTCGCTCTCATACATATTGTTTAACGAATTACGAGGTAGTGTCTCGCTCTCACAACGGATATTTTCACCTTGCTCTCTGGCATGCTTTTCTCTTTCGCTCTTTCACTGCAGTTGCGCGGTCTTCTTCTCGCCCGCTACAGATACCGAAGGAAACAAAAACCTTTTTGTTTCTTCCGGAATCGATGATGGCAAGAAAAGGCATTGTCCAACCAACACAATTGTACATAAACGTTCAGGCTCCGCCCCTTTTCTGCAGCGGCAGCGAAATGTCTCGCAAGTGGTGGTTGGGTTTACCGTTACGTTACACTCGTGTGTCTCAGCAGCCAATTGTCTCTGTCAAAACTCTATTTGCCATTGTATTTGGCAGCATTGCGTTACGGTTGGACAGTAATGGGAACGCCAGTAACACACACACGTGCATACTCATTAAAAGGATACCGTATCTTCAGTTGCATGGCATGTGAATATCATATATACATACATATATGTATGTACATATGTACATGCATATGTATGGCCTTCCTCTTTCCCTTGCCGTTCTCCAAAACCATTTTAACGGCATTCGCCAATGTAAAGTATTGGCACAGGGGCGTATTTTAGGTATACCCAGAAGAATATTCAATGTGGGTCTACACTTCAACCTATTACGGGTTCAAATAGCAGACATTTTAGTTGATTTAAAAAGAAATCATTTTTAATCAGTAAAAAAGGGGTTAGATCGACCAATAAGTAACAATAATAGGAAAAAAAACAAAAAAAAACAAAGAAGATAACTCCGGCACGCCCAAATTTATATATCCTTGCAGAAAAAACTTCGATCACTAAACAGAAAAGTAAGGCCTGCTTTCATTTCATTCACCTATACATATTATATGATATAATCGTCCGATTTGCATAAAATTAAAACCACAATTTTTAAGTAATATAAAACGGCTGTATGTATATAAAAATGATGAAAAACTGTTCAAGACTGAAAAAGTAATATTTTTAATTGTATTAATTTTTCGATCGTTCCTGAGGCAGCTATGTGATACTGCAGTCCGATTTTTATACAAATTTTAAGTAAGTTGTTGAATACAATATAAATATAAAATGTCTATATCTTAAATATGATTAAAATCTGTTGAAAACAGGATAAGTTATGATTTTTTTTTCCTGAAAATTTTCCGCAAGGCGAATATGGCTAGATTGACTCGGCTGTTGATATATATAACATATATAAACTTTATATTACTTGTTACTGAAATTATAATAAAATAAGGGAAGCTAAATTCGTCACGTCAACGGTTGAATACCCTTACAGATTGTTTTGTTTTTGTTTGTTCATAAATAATTATTACAATAAAAATTGCAAATATTTATGTTAAATAGGAAAGAATAGAAAGCTAACTTAGAATAACTAAAGATTTTATAAATTTTTTTTATATATATTTTCATATGATTTTTTTATAGTTTATACAATATATATTATTATATACATATATTTAAAAAACAACGAAGTAATGCCTACTTTCAATAAATTCACCAATACATTTTATTTGTAGAGTTTTTTACAGTAACAGTTTTAAATTTACAGATTTACATTGTCCTCTACATTTGGCGATCGGTTTTATGTCAGCTACATACATACATATGTATATAATAAATGGTCCTTTTTTTATAAAGTAAAATTCAAATTTAAAGAATAGTACAAATATATATATATATATATATATATATATATATATATATATATATATGTATGTATCTTTATCTTAACTTATATGAAAATATGTTGAAAACTGGAAGAGCAATAATATTTTTTCTATCATTTTTCCGGTCGGCTCTATGACATCTATATAAAACAAACAAACAGACGGATATGGCTAGTTCAACTCGCATTTTGATGCTGATCAAGAATATATATGTACATACATGTATGTATACTTTATATGGTCATAGATGATTCCTTAACTGTTCTGACTTAAACTATAATACCCAGCATTAAATATATTTACATACACATGTAGAATACGAACCCTTTAGAAAACTGCAGGTATTGTTACAAAGCAACAAACCCAATAAAAAAAATCGAAAGCTACAGTTAAATTTGATTGACTGTTAAATTCTCCGGTACCGAAACGTTTTGCATTACATTAGGAGCAGAGGAGACTAACCCGGCTAAATCGACTCGGCTGGTGATACCCACTTCTGACTGCTGCATACATTGTTATACCCTTGCAGGGTATTA